GGCAGGCGCCTGTAGTCCCAGCTACTTGGGAGGCTGAGGCAAGAGAATCGCTTAAGCCCAAGAATTTGATGTTGCTGTGAGCTATGACACTACAGCACTCTACCGAGGGTGACATAGTGAGACTATGTCTCAAAAAAAATTAGTTATTCTTACCTCCATTTACCAGAAGGAGAAACAAAGGCTAAGAAAGACTAAACTACTTTCTTGATGCCAATGATAAAGCTGGGATTTCAGGCAAGGTGGTCGAGGGTTCCTCAACTTAGAATGCTCTGGATAAAGTTTCCGCTGAGCCACCTTCAGCCAGCCAGCCACCCCCTCCCCCTGCCAACGCTCTGCAAGCATCAGAAATAAAGGCTGCTTCCCTCAGCGCCTTGCCCTGGCCAGAGTTCCCCAATTGTTGTGTCCCCTTTTCCTCACAGAGGAGGAAGACCTGCGACCAAGAGCCAAGTCTCACCCAACCTCATCTTCTCTGAGAAATCTATGCAAAGGGTCTCCGAGGAAAAGCTCCACACTCAGGCATGCCCTCCAGGGTGAGCCACTCTCTTACTGACAAATAAATCTGTGAGGGGACAGGAATGCCCCAGCCACCAGGGAGACCTCTCTTTCTGGCTCATTCCTCTCCCTGCCCTGAGAAGCTCCCTCTGCCAGCTTGTCAGCCTGCCAGTGGAGACAGGCATCCTATACAGACACATCCCCTCGGAACGGCTCCCCTGCATCCATGCATGGATCATCAGCTTCTGAAATCTCTCCCTGGGGATCAAAGAAATGATTTTAATCAGTGGTGCATCCAGACAACAGAATCCTATGTCCAGCACAAGTGGTGCTCAATAAATACTTGTGTAATGGGTGAATAACGTAATGAATATGTAATAACAAAAAATGTGGCGTTCTCTATTTTGCTAACATCAGGGATGCTCTCGATATACTGTGAGAAAAACAACATTGTTGAAAGGTAAAAGCTACAGGATATTGTTACTGTATGATATTTTGCCTAAAACGTGAGAGAGAGAGAGAGAGAGTGTGTGTGAAGAAAAACTGAAAAGATACACAGCAAAGTGTTATTTGGGTATTTTAATTTTTTTCCTTTTTAACTTATTTCTTGGCAATGCTCACAGTTCCATTATACTTAAAATATTTATGGCCGGATTCAGTGGCTCATGTCTGTGTTCCTAGCATTCTGAGAGGCCGAGGCACGTGGATCACTTGAGCTCAGGAGTTCAAGACTAGTCTGAGCAAGAGCTAGACCCTGTCTCTAAAAAAAACTAGCTGGGTGTTGTGGCAGATGCCTAGTAGTCTCAGCTACTGATGAGGCTGAGGCAAGAGAATTGCTTGAGCCCAAGAAGTTGAGGTTGCTGTGAGCTGTGACACCACAGCACTCTACTAGGGGTGACAAGGTGAGACTGTGTCTCAAAGAAAA